AAGTCAGTTTGATGAAATGTATGGCAACAAGGGATAATAAGTTAAATTGGTGGAGGGGCAAAGATTCAACTTCAACTCATGAATTTTTTGGGAATGCTCAGCTATCTTATCAAATGAAATCACTAATCTAGGCAAATTCCTCCATCAAATGTTCAATTGAGAATTTTCCAACACTGTTTTCCACATAGATATTACATTTCCATTGCATTATTGAATATAATTAATGAATGAATAGATGTGTTCTCAATTTAAAAATTGATGAGACTCTGGGAAATTTCCCAAGCTGAACAACTTGCAAGGCAAAGTCCTTGGCAGTCAAACAATTCAATTATATTCCAAAACAAAATTGGGCCACTTCCTGAGCAACATTTGTCGACAGTTCATTATTCCGGAAAAACAATGGGTTGCATCATGTTTGACAATTCATGAAACAATGAAGCAGCCCTAATTTACAGACCTCTCCGCTACCCAAGGCATTCATCAGGTACTCCGGATAGTCCAGAATGAACTTGATTCGACTGTGCAACATTTTCACATGCACCAAACTGAGCCTGAAGGTGTTCAGCGGCCTCTGAGCATTAATTCCTTGAATGCTGGAAGTGAACCTCGTGAAGCGGTCAATGCCAATTTGTTCAGCTTCTTCCGGAGCCAATGTATATAGGGGATTTGCAGGATTAACACTTTTGTTTCGCCTTCAACAATGTTGATGAGCAACTCATGAATGCTCACAGGTAGATGCTGTAATAAATAAAAAAAAAATTGGAGTTTGATGTTTGGTTTGTAACGTTTCAAGGGTAGAGCATTTACCTTGGTGTCTTTGGCCACAGGGTTCAACTTCAGGAAAATTGCTCTTTTGTGAAATTCAGTCACTCAGTTGGAGCTGAATGTCCGTTTGATCATTGCAGGCGCACCCCCAGTTGTGTAACAGCCATTGAATTCCATTTCACTGAACACCTGTTTGACTACGAAGAACAAAATTAATCACAAGGCTTGACACAAACATAATTTTACAAAAAAACGCACTGTGTTTCCTTCATGGAGTAGCGAGTAGTCCTTATCAAAACGTATGCTTTGTTGATAATGTTGTAACTCAGCTCAAAGCTGGAGTTCATCTGTTCCAATAAGTGACGCCCTTTCTATTGTCCAATCAACGCCCCGATCACTGAAACAAATGATCACTGAAGCGCAGATTGAGACGTGGATCGCAGACAATCTCATTACAAGATTGTCTTTGATCCACGTCTTAATCTGATCCCTGATTTTTTTGGTTTTTGATGGGATCTTACTGGGATCATTACGGGTATTTTATTCCCGCAAGCAATAATTATAGAAGATTGATTGCATTTTACTTTGTAGAAGATTCCTTGAGATTTGTAAGCACACTGACACAATTCATGAACCAATACATGTTCGGAGATTAAACTAACCTGAGGCCTGAGAAATATATGGGACAGACACTTTGAGAAGGGCTGCTTATTGAGCGGCTTCTGACTTTTTGTTGGCATCCACTAAGACCGAATCATTGGTTCTGCGTCTGAATTTGCCATTTGCCATACCAGTCCATTGTCTCCAGCAGTACCTAAAATATGAATTCAATCAAACGCGTCAAAAACATGCTCATTTTTCTTACATGGGGAGAGAAAACGTTCGAAATTTTGAATTATTTGATCCATTAATGCAACAAATGAATAAACTCTTGTACAGGTGCTTTCTTTGTTTCTATACCTCAAGTTGCATCAAACACTCACTTTGCCAGCATAGTCAGCAAATTTACTTTCCAAGATTCACAAAAAGACAGAATTCTAAACCGGATACTCCGCCAACGGACAACTCTGACCACAAATATAAGGGCTGGCTGAATCTCTGGGAGCCACCATGTTCTTTACCGCTAATATCTGTGGCTCCCAGCTCTTGCCCCAGTCAGGAATTTCAGGTGCAGTACCCGAACCGTACCCCCAAGGAGTGCCGGTCTTTCAACTCGCACTCCTTGACACCCTCCGCACTACTAGTACCACACACAGTGATCCCTCTTGTGTGGTACTAGATCATGCCTTTGGCTCCCACGCCCTCATTGTTTGCTGGGCTGAATCAATCCATGTTGGTCATTTCACATTATTTTTCTTTTGGATGCTCAGATTTTTTCAACATCCTCATCCGTACTCGAAATTTATCTTTAAAATCTTGAAAAATATTTTTGTTTAGACAACCTAAACTTGAATTACTTCCTATGATGTTAAGGTATATAGCACTGCACCTTTACTGAAGTACCGCTTGGAACTTATTCTTATTTGTAGGTATTCGAGTTACTTTCCCGACGTTTGGTATGGGACCACAGGCCACATATTAAAATAAAAATTTAAAAATTTAGTAATTTATACACCTCGTACAGTATATAATATGAAGGTAGTTTAAGTCTGTACCAAAGAAGCAAAAATTTCCTAGACACTAGAAAGGTTTGCAATGTATATTTATGCTAAAATGCAACTATGGCAATTGAAGATGCTATTGAAACAAATTTTGATCGCTTGAATTCAAATTTTACTGGTCTACAGTATTTCAGCTGGGTTTTGTGAGTCTTGAGCGGCAATTGATTTTTCTCGAAAATTAAGGTCTGCATTTACATGAGGGCACATGTCACTCAATTAAACACAGCATGTACAGTATACACCATCGAAGGAAGATAAATTGGATTCCTGGGCAGAGAAAAAATGTTATAGAGCGACACCTGTATTGCATGGAGAAAACATTTCTGAGTCTGTTTCTTGCTGTGCCCCATGATGGGTTTGTCATATGAGTAAAGGAAACAACTGTACTGTATTATTATTCTCAAAAATCCTTCTGAAATATCATCCCATGTAGTTTCTCATATATTCCAGCATATTTCAACCTGAATAAATAATTGATCATAAATTTCCTATAGCTTGAATGCGTCAAAAATTTCAGGTTTTTGTCAACCGCGCTTCCGCGTGCCGGAAATACAGTAATAATTCCTCGTCGATTATAATTATATGTTTCCAGCAGAGAATATGCAAATATTTCAACCTTCTGTACCGTATTTCCAGACAAGCTTTACTCAAATGCAATGCGAGCCAAAGACAGCATCGGAAGGAGCAAGAAGAGAACAAACGCCTTCAACTCTGGCTCAGTCAGCACTCGACTCAACACACTCACGAATGCCGTCGCTTGGAAAACGAGATCGAACGTTTGAAAAGCAAGCTGAATCAATTGTTGACCAGCTCTAGAAAGCAAAACTCGAAAGACTCTTTCAAAATTGAATTGTTGAATCCCTTGGGTCGCGTGGAAGGCAATAAGCGGTTGACGTGGAAAACGGAAGCTGCTGTGTTGAAGCACGAACAGGATTTCAATCAGTACGCCAGAGAAAAGTTGGACAATCGTTTGAAAGCATTGGTGGCTGAAAATGTGGAGATGAGAAGAACTGTGACTAGTTTACATGAGCTGCTGGTGGAGAACAGCGTGTTGCCTGCGTCCGCAACTGCTGGAGCTGCTACAAATCCTGGCACTTTCCAGGTAAAGCTGAACTTGAAAAACTCAAATCGAAAACATTTTAATGCATTCAGAACTAACCAGGCTTCAAGGAAGTGCTAACATTTTGAATATAGTTGCAGTATAGAAAATACTTTTATTCTTGCAATATCCAAAAATTAGGTTAAAATTTCTGATCAGAATTCTGGAGTTTGGTTCAAAAAGTTTGTTTTTGTATAATGGAAAATTTACTAAAGTTGCCAAATAAGGTGTCAACTTGTAGGTAACTTCTCTGTGTAGTAATTACATATTTTAAAAGGTATTCAACATGAATTTTATTTTTGTTGATTGGCAAAAATCACCTGAGTCACAAATGGGGTCAATGGAAGGGAACGGGTTAATTATTTATTGATTAGACCCCGAAATACAGAGACCCTGACAGCATAACAATTTAGCTTGGGGACACTTTTAAAAAACTGACCCAACATCTTAATGACAATATATCTCCACATACTGACACTTTTCCAACATTTCTGTAAACTTTTTTTTTCATTTTGATATCCTGAACAAATTAAACTACAGTATTTATATCCTTAAAAGTTGAAAATTAATTTTGTTACAAATTTACTAAAATTTATAATCAAAACAGGTTACTTTTGTGTTTCTTTTTTTGTTGAGTATTCTCCATCATGTGCACAGTATAACAAGACTTGTCCTTTTTTCTTTGCTTTATGTTGTTAGAAAATCAGATTCTGTGTGTTTTTTCCCCCATTGTTATATTCTGCATTTTTAAATTGAGAGACACATTTTATTCAATTTTTGTGTTAAATGGATATGCATTTTTCTCCAAATTTTAGGCTTGGAAAATAATTGAAATTGTATTATGTATACTGTATATACAGTACTTTTATTCATGTTTCTTTGTTGAAGTTGCCATGGAATTCCCAGCAGTCTTCGGGTATCCTGAAGGACATGAAAGCTGCACTATCTCCTGCCATAACTCCCAAAATCAAGCACCCTGAAGGAAGTCCAGTAACAGGCCCATCAGGATCCTCTGAAATTGGTTCACCTGCTCTTCATCCTCCTGAGGTGTCATCCAGAAGAAATGTTTTTCTGGGTTCTGGAAAGCGCCAGTCTCAAGGATCTTTGCTGCAGATGGATGAAATAAAGAGTTACCTGGAATCTGCTGTGGATGGGAGAAGTCCTGGACCTTGTGAGGCGCCATCTGGTGGCCTAGTAACGCACAGCGTTCCAACATATGAGAGGGTTTCTTCACCCAGTGATTGTCACATGTTTAGGAAAATGAATGAGCTGAATATGAACCAGTCCTCAAGTAACTCAGTTACTTTCCATGTGAGTCATTTACAGTATTGATTTCCTATTTATTGATTTCCCTTTGCACAATAAATGAGCATCAATTGGCCCAATTTATATCTAAATCTTATTTCAACTGCTTAAATTGTAGTCCAAAAGTTTCCAAATTGTTACCTATATGTTTTCCAATTTATACCAAGGTTGTCCATTATTTCTTTCATAAAGTTTCATTTTCCTCCAAAAAGAAGTTTGCCTATGTCAATATTTGACAAAACTATTGGAAAATATATTGATAACAGTTTTAAATTTTTTGCTCAATATGATCAGAGAGCGTGTATAGATCTAAAAGAGGAAAAGGAATTACAGTATGTTTTTATTTTATTCAACAGAATTTGAAACCATTGAAAGAAAAAATGTTTGTATTTTTTGACAGAATGTTGAGACATCGAATCCTGCTGACAAAGAAGTCACAAAGGCTGAGTTTAAGGTGAACCACAGGTCAATGGAAACCCAGCAGAACAGTGTTGACATCCCTGGTTTATTGCGAGTGACTGTGTCCGTTACTGACCGCAACAAAATGACAAATGTGGGAGGAAATAAGGAAGAAGTAAATGTTAATTCTAGTGAGGCCTCTGATGAGGATGGAGATGATGATGATGACAGAGGGAGTGTGATTATGAAGGAAAATTTTGTGCCTTGAATAAGTGTAGCTTGGTTTCGTATGTTTTGGCTGTCTGCATGTTCTTATATATGATGTGGATTGATCTGAGTGCTGTTCACTGTGAAAACTGTGATCTGGGAATAAATATGAATAAGACTACTTGCTGATAAGTCTGTTTATTTCTTGAAACTCTCTATATTATTGCTGCTGTATATAGCATGTGTAATTACTGTATATTTACATACACCATTGGACTTGTCTTTCTGTACAATAATCTTGTCTACAATGATTTTTCTGTGTATTATTTTCTGGATCCCATATATCTGCTGGTTCTCTCCCTATATATGATGTGACCTTATGGGACAGGGGGTTTCTATTGCAAAATATTAACAAAAAAGTTCTGGTCCCTTTGAATTTTAATTGTTGTCTAGGGAGAGTACTGCAATGATGTGTATCAATAATTGAAAGAAGCTGACTTGAAATCAGTTTTGCTCCAGGTTACATTCTGTTGAAATATGTGGGAGAAAAATGTGCCTGATGCTATGCATACAGCATATCATGCTATTGTAAAGATGACACAAGTTTGTCGCAACAACTACACTACCATGTACAGTATTATGCTGGGATGTTACATTTATTAATCCCTACAGTAAATTCAATATTTCTTAAATAATCGGATTAATCGCTGTACTAGTGACATCGCGAAATGATCAATAATTACGTACATACGTCATCTATATTAAAATTTTCAAAAGTTTTCCATAAAAATCCCAGCTTCCCAACCGGTTATCCGCATCCGCTGTCGCCTCTAGCGGAAACTTCTCGCATTGAAGCTCCGTCCGAGCTGATGGCGAATCGGTGGACCAGAGTCATCAGTTTACGAGATCAATCAAGCGTGCGAACAGGAACAGTTACGAGAAGTGTGGTCTGACGATGTTCCGCAGTGAGTCACGGTTTTAATCTAATTTTCAATTCCATAGGAAACTCGCGTGAAATGAACAGGCGGAACACTAGTCGAGTAGGAGTACTATGAACGGACTCGTTTCCGAGTCATGGAAAGAAGGTTTCCCCGTATTGGACGTTTCGTGTGTGTGTGTGCAATGTGCAGTGCAGTAATGTAAATGCTAACAGCGTGCAACACAGCTTTGTCTTAGTGTCTCGGGGCTGTCAACCAGAAGAAACTGTTGCGACACGTCCGAATTTTTTGCTTTGATTCAACCGCTCTTGACATAGAAATACTGTACATTCAGACGTATAGTCTCCCATTGAGTTGTAGGCGTAAAATCAATCGCTTTTGACGTCGCAATACACTCAGAAATGTTGCGCGTGACGTCCAGTTTGAATATACGGAATGGTGTCGGCCCCAATTCGTTCAAGTAAGTCGAAGCTCAATAACTCGTTGATTGATGCAGTGGCGTTTCCGTTGTGATCAAGTACGTGAAGTCCGGAAGGAGTCGTATCATTTAACCTTTCTTTTATCGTTCTCGCGCTCGATAGGTATTGCGGAAAGCGCAAAAAATATTCGACTATCTCCGTTCAGACGGAGATAGTGCAGTGTGTTTTGGTAATATTTTTAGAGTTGTGAAGCACGAACCGTTCGGCTTAAATTATGAGTCCGCTTGCGGAAAGTTCACGAGGAAATTCTAGCCAAGTGCTTGTCATCGCAAGATTTCTCATGAGGCACCCACCCGATGCGATAGGGAATCTGATGGCGGAATCCTTGAAAGGTTCGCGTCAATTTTAGAAAGACAGAGGAAAGTTTTACTCACAATTTTTTATTTTCCTGCGGTCAAGACTTCCCTAATGATAACTGGAAAAGCATCTCGGTTGATCGCTGGACCGGTTTGGACGTTCTGAGCTGGCTCTTTTGTTTCGACGGAAGAGTTTTGCACAAATATCCTGTTGATCGGTTTAAGTGGCTTCGAAAGCTGTTCCTGAGGCAACCGTTGTTGACTGGTAGGGATTTGTTTCCGTTGGAAGTCAGTAAACTCTCTGTAGAGCTGTCCCTCTCGGTGGACGAAGCTTCTCTGGCCAACAGAGAACTTATGGACCATTCGGATTCTCTCTTTGACCGCGAGACTTCCGATATTGGTGAGTGTCTTTCCTACCTTTCCTCGTTTTATGCAAGTTTTTTCTTCTATTGATATTATTATGTTCTCATGCTGCTTGGTAGATTTGTACTGCGTAAAACTTTTAGTTCGTTATTTGTTAGGTGCAGAGAAATCCTCGAGTGTAAAATATTTGTCGAATTTAATTTCAAGGCATGAAGAGGCGTTGACCCGATCCATCGAACTATGTGTCATGGTTGATTATTTCGATGAGTTGGTTTTTTCGGCGTAATTCCGTTTAACATTGATAGTACTGAAGAATGTGTTGAAAATTTCCAGATGTTCTTGTCAGTAACAGTTACTTCCTTGAAAGATCTGGAAGTAACTGGGAACGCCTTGATTGCCGTCAGTGGGACATGTGTCATTTCATCGAGTGGGCAAACAAGGAACGTGATATTCGTGGTGTGACTGACAGCTCGGTGATCACCTACCTTGGCCAGCCAGGTGTCATCGATCGTTTGAAAAACTCACCTGCCGAGGTGAAAATTTTAGAAAGATTGGATCCAGTTCTGAGTTCCGAGTGGATTTCTTTGATTTCGAAATCCTCGGGTGCTCCGCATCCGTATCAAAGCTCTTGCATGTATGCGTTCTCATATGATCAGACTCGTCAAGCTTCGACCGGTCATGCAGGTCAGTGCTAATCAGTTTTGTACAGAGAAGAATATTTTCTCGCAATTTTGCAACGTAAATCTTGAAGTTTTTTTCTGTTAACTGTGTAAGCAGATGTACGATTATTGAATGCAAGTTAATGGGAAAAATGAGTGAAGGTGACTTCGCGAATTTGAGCAGTTTATTGGACATTCTGAACGGTAGTAATTTCTTTTGAAATACATCGAACTCGTTATGAATATACTGCATGTAGAAACAACTTTTTCTACAGTCGAACCTCTTTAAGTCATACTTCAAGAGACCTGGAGAAAATGTATTTAGGGAGGGTACGAGTTGTGTAAACAAGCATTTTTTTTTGGAGAAGGGAAGAATTGCAGATTGAGGCCTTGCGCATTGTTTAAGTAAGTTGACAGGATGCTGAACTCGGATGCAAGGGCAATTCCTTTGAAAATGCATCAAATTTCACTTTTTTACTTTTATCTTTCCTGTATCAAGCAAGTCATTGCCGAAATCCCTCCAAAAAATTCGAGTTATGGAGATGTAGAGGAAAGCCTTACAGTTGGGAAAGTTTTAATGCATTGTTTCTGGAATTCTGAGAGGGAATCGAAAAAAAAATTCGACTTGGATATGTTTGAGTTATCGAGGCTCTACTGTATCAGGAATTCAGGATTGATTATCTTAAATTTTCTGTCAATTTTAAAAATTTTGTTCTTATCCTTCAGCAGGAAACCAAGTCGTCGAACAGCCAAGTTCGTATTCGCAAGATGAAGAAACGGACGTGTCCTCTTCCGAAGAATCAAGTGCTACTGATGGTTCCAAGAAGCGAGATAGGAAACTTATGGGTAAGTCTCAGATTTTTATCGCTCATTCCGTGAATAATTTTCTTTTTGGTTTCAATGTAGGAGCGGAATTGAGGAATAGACTTTGGCAAGATCTGAAGCACCGCATACCTAAAGGTGAGTGGTTCAGTTTCATATTTCTTTAATATGCATGAGGAAATTAAATGATTTTTGAAGCATCGAAGCAATGGCCCGGGACAATGATAACGTGGCAATTCATGCTCCACTTGCTGGAGTCTAATGAATTCACTGACTTGATTCGTTGGGAGAAACGTGAAGAAGGCATCTTCAGGATTTTGGAAACGCGGAAAATAGCGGCTTTATGGCGATTTTATAAGGATAAATCAACTGATGGTACAACAAAGCGATGTATTTCGTGGGCCTACTTTTCGCGTGCCCTGAGGTGAGACAGTAAAAGATGTACACATTTTTAGTTTCCTTTGTAATGTTTGATTTTATTTTGTGTCAGATCAGTTTATGTTTGAATTTAGTTAGTGGTAAAACAACTTAAATCTCTTAACGAGTTGATAAAGCGGACCAACATGCAAGCTTTACAGAACTTACAGTTTTCCGTCTAAAAAGATAAAACTTAGAAAAAAAAGATAAGAAAGCGTCCAAAGATTACCGTGGTGACATGAATGGAGATAAACGAGAAGAGGGTAAAAGGGAAAGAACGGTGTACCAGTTCGACAGAAAAAATGTGGAGAGATACCTTCGTCAAAGGCAAGCGTGATTGATTTTGGCTGTACGTTTTGCTGGGATGATTTTCGATAGATTTACCAGATGTTCTTCATCTGTGCGTGAGGCGGAATCGAGGAGTCTTGAGGCGTGATTCGAAACCTGCGAAAGAATAGAAAAAAAAGATTCAAAATAGAAAAATCTGCCTTTTGACATTCAAGACATTTCGAACGTACAACCAGGCGAAATAGTTGAGCAATTCTCTAAATTCAACAAAATGGTGAATTTCTATTTTGAATCTTTTTTTTCTATTCTTTCGCAGGTTTCATTACCGTGGTGACATGAATGGAGATAAACGAGAAGAGGGTAAAAGGGAAAGAACGGTGTACCAGTTCGACAGAAAAAATGTGGATAGATACCTTCGTCAAAGGCAAGCGTGATTGATTTTGGCTGTACGTTATGCTGGGATGATTTTCGATAGATTTACCAGATGTTCCTCATCTGTGCGTGAGGCGGAATCGAGGAGTCTTGAGGCGTGATTCGAAACCTGTGGCATTATGAAACTTCGGAGTGCTATTGTGTTAAAAAAAAGAAAAAATACTTTTAAACGCAGTTTTTGAATGAATTTTTTTTGTTTTCTTAATACTTGTGAATTTTGCGGTCTTTTTTTTTAGATTATTGGGCATCCGTGCGAATAGTGATTTTCAGTAGGATTTCAGAGCTTTCGAAATGCCGAAACGGAACCGCGACGGCGTGATAATAAAGCCGATCTGTCCGCGAGACATTGCAGAATCTCCCTGTGTTCGGAACGAAACTATGGAAATGGATCAGTTTGTTCCTGGCAGTAGATGTCCTTCTTTGGATTCAATGGACTCTTCCGATGTGAGTGTCGAAGCACTTTTTCGCATTGGTAACTACAGTATTTTTTAGCTGTAGCCTTCTTGAGAACTGCGTTTCCTAGAAAATTGGCGATTGTGTGCGTGAATACTGTACAATGTTTTCTGGAGTTTTGCGCTTGCTAAAATATGTTGCAGTCTTGGATACGCAAAATTCTGGATATAAAGTAGTTGTATTGAAAGCGCGAGTGATTTTAGGCTTATAATTTTTCGCATTAGGATGAATTTCTTTATAAATACTTTTACCATCTCCTTCAAGAGCCGTTCCATTTTGGGGTAAACTTTTACATTTCGGATGTTCCAAGCATGAGTGGTAAATTATTCTAAGCTCACCCTCTATCTACAAATTGTAGGATTATTGGGCATCCGTGCGAATAGTGATTTTCAGTAGGATTTCAGAGCTTTCGAAATGCCGAAACGGAACCGCGACGGCTTGATAATAAAGCCGATCTGTCCGCGAGACATTGCAGACAGATAATAATTTTGAAGAATAATTGTCAATAATTTTGAAGAATAATTGTCTTCAAAAAATCTGCTTGGCTAAAGTCAAAAGTGCGATAATTAACTAGATAAAGAAATCTTTGATGGGGGTTTTGCGTTCTTTTGGTCATAACTTGGAAATTGAGATACATAAATTTGAAATTTTGATATTTGGTCAGAATAAAAATGTGCTGAGTGAGGTCGACATTCAAAATATTCAGCTTTTACGGAGCTTCATCAGGCTTTTGAAATAATTGAGTTAGTCTCGATTACAACGACGGTAAATAAAGATTCATGCTGAAACGAGAAACTCACGCTGAACCGGATTCATTTTACAGTATATAGAGATTAATTCTAGTAAACAAAATAGGAAGCCTCAAATCACTTGTGCTTTCAATGGCAACGCAACAATAACTAGAAATTCTCGCATCTGAGATGGAAACATATTTTAGTGAACCCAAAAATCTTGAATATTTCATTAACGCGGACAAACGCTCCATTGTCTGGGAGACGCAGTTCTTGAGAGGCGTGAAGCTCAAAAATATCGATTTTTGAAATGCCAATTTTTAAAAAATTATCTTCAGGCTGAAAAGTTTTGGTCTTCCTTCGGCGCTACCGGAAGTTCGGGAACCAAGTGGAAACAGCTTTTGCACGGGAACCCGTCGCCAAACGTCATTAACCCTATTCCGGAATCTGCTCCGCCGTCTTGCTTCTTTTGCGAAAACGTGATCCCCATTGGTGCCGCTCTGTCAAAGTGCCCGGAATGTGGGCACGAGTTCTGCAACGACTGTGTTATAATGGACTTTACTCAAGACGCTTCAGTCCCGCTGTGCCACTCGTGCTACTCCGAAAGACGACGCAGCATGATTCGTAAAGAGTGATTTTCCCCCTTTTTTCGCCTCTTTGTCCGGTGTTTTTTCTCCTCCCCAGCTTCCGATGCTTGCTGGTATTTTAATCTCGCATTGCTGTTTTTTTTTACGTAAGATTTTTTTTGCTGATATGAGTGGAATAAACAACTCAAATATAAATTAATTTTTCTACTTCCCGATTTGAAGGATTCGTGATGCATGTGCTGATATTTTTTTCATTCGTTTGCCTTCGTAGGGTGGAAGGATGAGAGGGTGAGAGTGAAGTCAAAGTGTTTTATGTGTTGAAGTTATGGGTTCGTCGTCGTCTAAATTGCGGAAATACATGCACAATGGCGACGAGTTCGCGGCTATGCAGGTGAGAAACGGGAAATTTAAATCCTATGCATTTATTTGTAAATACTGAACAGTTTTCGTTCTCTCTGTCGACTAGAATGCTTTTTTTTTAAACATTCATCGACCATTGATAAAGTATTCTTGAAAACACTAAGACTGTGACAATAAAATACGGTAATGAGTCTAACGCTTCGCTGGACTGGGACTCCGTTAATTTTACCGGTTTGCCAGGCTTTGGTTTCTGAAGTGCCGGACAGGTGTCACCCGAATCACTAACTACCTTAAAATACGAAACTGAAGTATCCCACGGTATTATTTTATAATTTAAAAGGAAAATGTATACAACCTTTCGAATCTGTCACCTAAAACAATTACTATATTTTCAGACGACTCGTATCCAACGCCGAAGAAAATTGTAGGTTCCTGGGCAATGGAAAACTAATGAAAACAACCTGACGCATGCCTTAAATACAATGAATGATCTTTAGTTAAACGGAGACAATGATTCTTTATTGTCGGATTTGTGAAGCATTAAAATGGAACAATGGTTGAAGAAAATTGTACGCAAGTCGAGATTATCTCGGAAGTTGAAGATGAAACTGATCTTAAAAGTGTATCGGGTCACTTGTCAGTGAAGAAATACTGTACGGTTTTTTTTTTCGATAAATTTTCTGAGAAGTGTCTCAGAAAATTAGGTGAGGTAAATGGGATGTGAACCATTTTTTGCTTCTCCGTAGAAGTACGCGTAATCTGTTTACTGTGAGAGTAATTCCGTCGAGTTCGTATATGGCAATATTTTATATAAAATATTTCTATTATTTTCTCAGTTGTACCAAAGTTCACCGGAGCTCCGTAAAATTTTCAACCCGAATGCGAGCTACGGCGAGTCCTATTCACATAACACTGCGCTTCACTATGCTGCCATGCATGGGATGAAACATTTGCTCAGGTACAGTTCCCAGATTATCGAATTTTAAAGTAAATTTCTTTTGACTAAGCGCATCTCGTTGCTGATGATATTTCGCAGAACTTTCTTATGGGAGCTGAATGGAGATCCGAGGATGAGAAACGGAGATGGACAGACGAGTCTTCATTGTGCGTGTCAAGTGTCGGGTCAACCCAAGTCCTTGTCGACGCAGGAAAGACGCACGGCTTGCGTTCTCATCTTGCTGCAATGGCTGAAAGACCCAAGACCGAATATGGAGACGATACACCAAATCAGCGATGACCTTGAAAAATTTGACATATCTTCGACGGATAACGTGAGTGATTCGTGTCCGCCATTTTCTCTCGGGCGGTTTGTGTGTAAAAGTGATTGCTATTTGAACTGGATTCATTGGTTTTGGGTCCACTACTCAAATTTTAATTAGCTGACTCCAAAAAAATCTTTTTCAAACACGAAAAGGCATCACATTCCCAAAATAAGTCTGAAAACCTGGATTGCTTCCCTGATCACATATTTTGATGTTAATTATTTTTGCTTTGCTTGTAAAAACATTGCGGGATGAGAACTGAAGTCAACTTTCCATTTTTGATTCAGATAAACTCCGTGACAATTTTGTCAAAAGCGGTATCGAATTTTTTTTCTTTCTGCAGATGGTCCGCCATTCTTGTACAGAAAATTGGTGTTGAAAAGCCTCTGTGCCGAAATTTTGAGAATCGCCCGATTTCTCTGCTAAGGGAGTTACGACAATATTCTTCATACCCTTGACATTTTTGAGGCCAAAATTCACTTATTTTTTTCACTTCGCATTCGAGGTACAAAAACAGGATTCAGAGAAATGAAAAACTTTCAAATTAAAAATTAATCTAATTCCGATACTGGTTTAGGTTTTGTTGACTATACTGGTGGACTCTGTCTACAGCGATTTTATCTGTATAGTATAATGCAGTGGTGCCCAACTCAGAAGTGGCCAAGGGCCACATTAAAATAATAGAGCATTATATGCGGGCCACAAAGGAAAAAGGTACAAGAAATATTTTACAATATATTGTGTAATTTGAGGGATGGTTGAAACTATTCTATTTTTCTAAGCACAAATTCAAAAAGGATTTCAGGATTTCCATTGTCTGGCTTTTTTTCATATACAAACTTTTTTGGTACATTTTTATTTATAAACTTCAACTTGTATTTTCATTACTTCATGATGACTGAATTTTTTTTCATGGAATCTGCATAACTTTTCAAAATGATGCAACTGAAGTCCAAAAACAAATAAGCAACTGGCAACTGAAAATTTGGAGTGATTTTAAATGTTGAAACTAATTTTGGCTGAANAATGAATATTTTTCTGGTCCCCTTAATTTCGTTGTATAGAGAGAGAGTCCACGTACAATATATCAAGGCCAGTTAATTACTCAGGTGACACCTATCATTCAAATTAGAAAGCTTCTGAAATTCATGGACTTGGTCAGAAAAGAGCATTGGTTTTCATTTTATAGCTACAGAAAAAATTAAGTCGATCGTTGTATGTGTGATTGACTTTATTCAGGAGAATGCAATACTTTCCGAGTTTATCCAAAGATCGGATTGACAAATTTTTATTTTTTGAATGTTTTGTTTTACAGCTAGGGAACACTTGTTTGCATTATGCAGCCTGCAGCGGCTTGGCCCGAGCCGCGGAAGCTTTAGTGAAACGCGGGGCTTCTTTATTCGTTACGAATGCTGAGGGACGAACTGCGTGTGATTTAGCCGCGGAAATGGGTCACACCCGGGTTGCTCATTTGTTGGAATCATTTATGGTTTTGGTGAGATTTTTTTTGAAATCGATTTGCATGTCACGTTTTTCAAACTTCGAACTGCTTAACTTTGACCTGGACAAGTTTTAGGGAATTTAGAATTGAAACATTTATGGTACCTAACTCATTTTGTTATTGTCACTTCAAGAGATCATTTTTCATTTTTATGCTTTCAGTTTATTTTTGAAAATTGAGTCGTTGTTCAGTTCGAATTATTTTCCTCGTGGAATCTTTTTTTCAAAGCGTTGGTGTAATGATCTGGTCTGAAACCATCAAGGGTCAACAATGTTAGTCAGAACTCACAAGTTCAGATTGGGGTCCATTCATCAATAATTTATTTCTGGCATTCATTTTTCGAGAAATGTTTTTAATTAATTATATGAATGGAATTAGATTTTGAAATGGAACTTTGTGGACTTGAATTTTTCTTCAGGAAGAGTTGATGTGCTTAATGGATCGACTTATTTAGTTTTTTCTCTATGAGTTCCTGAAAATTATTTTCAAGTTCAGTTCGTAATATTGAATAAAAATTTGGAATATTTTTTGCGCAAATAGGTTGATTATTTGGACGTGCGGTTAGGGAAACCGGAAAAAGATGACGAAAAGTTGAGCATGGAATTACAGCGACTGAGAAAAAGTGAGTCCCATTACTGTTTTCTGAATAAATCACGGACAAATTGAGATGCAGTAATCAATTTTACGTTTCAGGAAGCGTAAATACTAACGGAGAAACTGGGAAAGAGGATACGACTGAAGAGGAATTGGAGGAGAAAGGTATGTATTGTATTTCGGTTTATTTCATTGTTTACCTCTGAATCCTGAGTGTATTCATCTTAAAACAAAAAATCCTCGTCGGAAAACTGTGTTAAATTATTTCTTTTTTGGTGTAGGTGAGGAGTTGTATCGTGGTTTGCGGGCAGTAGATCTTCAGGAAGCGAAGGATCTTTTACTAGTGGAAACATCCGACATGTTGAACGTTCCTTTGTTTAGCGCTGAAATTCTTCTGCGACAACATGGTGAGTTTATTTTTCTCATACTGTACAATAAAATCTCGGTACAACGAATACAGTTTCAAAAATTTTTCAGTATGATAAAACTTTCTCTCAAGCCTTGACAGAAAGCCCATAGATAACCTTATACAGTAATATATTTATAGAATTCCTGTTCGTCTTTATAATGACGAACTTTTTTGAGGAATTTTTATACTGTAGTAGATTCTCCAAGTAGAAATTTCCCGACAAAAGCAGGCACACTTTGAAATTTGGCATGTCAAATGTGAATCACTTGTTCTTGTAGCATGGATTGAAGCTGTAATCAATGAAAAACATGCTACCAAGTGGTTCCACATATCATCCTCCCAGAATGAAGAGATTGGGGTGACAAATAAAATCATGATTGGAGCAGTTTTTTTTTTCAGATGACCAGTTTTTTAAGCAAATGATGAAAAAAAATCTGAAAAGGCAGGAAAAGTAAGATCTGTTTGATCGTAGGTAGGTTTGATGTTATTTTTTTTCATTCATTGATTTTGAAAATCTCGTTATAAAAAATAACTAATTTTTTCTGAAGTTCCCAAAAATTTGTTGTAATGAAATTTTACTGTACTGTATATATAAATGTCCTGCGTTTCTCGGATATGTATGGCACGTTCGAAAAAGGGTGAGGAAAGAATGTAGCACTGTTTCAATGTCCACGTCCTGAACTCTGTGCTTCAGGTACGTTCCTAAATGGTGCGAGATTAATATATCTGTTCGAGGCCTTCAGAGGACTGTGTTTTTCGTTGCATTCCTCTGGGTATGAACAGCTTACATGAGATTATCAGAAGTACTCTTGATGATTGGTTTTTTTTTCAGCTGATAATAAATTGTCGAGTGCCTTGTTGAAACGATAAAGATTATTCTTTTTTTTTTTCTTCAATGCAGAATGGTCGAGGGAATCTCTGCTGGAACATTGGGTGGAAAACATGGCGGCGTGTTGCGAAGCTGCTGGAATTCAGCCTCCTCCGCAAACGTGTCTCGACAAGTCTCATGTTGAATCGGAAGTTCCTGGTGCAGTGGTGAGCGAAGTATTTTGCGGAGATGCTGATAATGCACTTGATGAGGACGCTTTCCAAGATGCTGTGAGTTATGCGATCTGAAACAATGTGTTGCTATTTTGGCGGATGTCGATGTACAGTAAATAAATCATCAAATGATCCGTTTTCGGAATCTTCGAATTTAGCGATGGAAATTTTCGTGATGCATGAAAGCATTTAAAAGTTTTTCCCCGCTAAGAATTAACCGATTTCGAATAAAGTTACCGGTACTTAAAAAAAATCCATGAAAAGACTATTTTACGTGTACAGTATTTCAAATACCATTATTTTCATCAGTCTTTTGGCTTTAGTGATGGATTTTTTTTTAATGTATGGTGCGAAATTCTTTCAGAAATTTCAGAATTATATTTGAGCCTTAAAATAATTTTCGTTCGTCTAAGTGGAGTATTTATGAAAGTAAGAATTTAATGTTCACCTTTTAAATGTGAAGGAAAAGTTTTCCTGCCGTATCTTGAATATATATTTTTTCATTTGCTGTTAGTTCTACCAAAAATTTCGACTAATTTACGTGCTGTATTTTGTTCGGTGACTATGTCCCATTTCTGACCGTCATGTTCGATTGAAAAGTGTTGATTGGGTTTGACAATTTTTGTGATGTTGTTGTCACGGTTGCCCGAGATGGCGAGAAAATCAATTGTTGAGCTGGAAATTGATAAAATGAGAGCCATAATTGAAGGATGTACTGTACTTCGTAACTGAATTGATTCACCGTTTAATTTATGCTCATTCATTTCAGCGCTTTTCAATCATTTCTTTTAATTATTTAAATCACACAGACTAACAATCGCGGACGATTTTTCTACGATAAAAATTAATGCTGATCAAAAACCTTGAATTTCACTCGTTCGAATAACATAATAATGCGTGTTAATTAAATGAATTCGCTGGTTTTCAGTGCGAAATTTGCATGAACGGAACGAGCAACGAGAAACCATTTCTCGCGGCACCCTGCGGACACGGGTTTTGCCAGGACTGCTGGAGTGCGTACCTCAAGTGCAGGATCGTGGACTTTGGGTACCCGTCTCAGGGCTCTGGTATCCCGTGTCCCGCGTTCGAATGTACTGCTCCAGTACCTGCGGAACTCGTTCAACGTGCCGTCTCGCCATCCGTGGTGAAGAAATACTTGCAACACGATATCCAGGTACAGTTTCAAATCTTTGAATTGCGTGTTCCTTTTTTCGCTGATCTTGACCGAGAATACGGGATTTTTAAGGATATTGTTGAGAGAAAAAAACGCGGAAGAGAAAATTAATGGCAGGGTTCAGTTCTGTTTTGAGATTATGTTTTATTTTGTTTATGAAAAGGTTTGCGTTCTTCTCAAAGTTGAAGAAATTTTTTATGGAAATCTCGCATTCAATCATATAAAGGGACGCATTTTTTGACTATAAAAAGTTGCACGAATAATAGTTCAGTTCTGAAATTTTGTTAAAGAAATTTTTATGAAATCTGGGTTGTAAAGCGTGTAAATGGGCGTACTTTTTGACTAGAAAACGTTTCGAAAATAATCTTGTTTTTATGTACAGCATACAGCATTTGAGAAATGATCGTCTGGAATTTTTTTTTTTTTGAAATTCGTATTTCTGTTCTAATACCGTGCTTCCGCATTTCTTTATTAAAAAGCGCTTGCTCTTCATTGTAGGTGTAGATAGATGTCGCTTACAGTCAGAATCGTTGGTGGCTTGTGTATCATGTTGAAGAAAAAATAATCTGGAAAACTTGAGTGGCTTTTTCAGATGCCATCAAAGCGTCAAATTGATTAGTGGTACTGAAAGGAACTTCTGATTGAATTTATTTTTTTTAGCATTCTGAGGTGAGGTTTTATTGATTTTCATTGAACATGACTTGTATTTACGTATGTAACGAATCGTTTAATTTTTTCGCCCGATTGTGTTTGTCTCTTAAATTTATAATTCTCTACTTTCATTTCAAATTTTTGAAGAACTGACCGGATGAAAGTTCAATTTTATGCACAGTATTCCGATAAAGAAAATATCATCTTATTGCATTCATTCCATTAAATTTTGGAAATTTTTAGGCTTTTGTCGAGAGTCATCCGATGATCAAGTGGTGTCCAAAACCTGGCTGCAACAGAGCCGTGCGAATACCGAATTCCTTAGTCAAGTGCCAAACCTCGTGTTGCGAAGCTGACGTCGACGGCGAAACGATGACGTTTACCTTTTCCAGCGAAAGCTCTAGCTCGTTACTTGCTGCAAAAGAATTGAAATTGTCCCACGCAGTCGACTGCGGAGCTGGGCACTACTTTTGTTGGTAAGTTCGCTGGGCCTAATTTTATTTTGTGGAGAATTCGCTTTCCCAGTGAATTGGATATCGAGGATTTTGATTTTTTTTTCACTGATTTTGAAATTTGATTGTAGGGAATGCTTGGGAGAGGCTCATGCTCCGTTGGGCTGCGAGAGGTGGAAAGAATGGCTGGACAAATGCAAGGACGTTGGAGATGATGAAGTTGCCAGTGCGGGTGCAACAGCTGCTGAAGAAGCTGCCAATTCCTTGTGGCTCGTGGCCAACTCAAAACCCTGTCCCAATTGCCATTCCCCGATCCAAAAGAACGACGGATGCAATCACATGAAGTGCTCAAAGGTAATAACTTCGTAACTTGATTAATAAGAAAGGGTTTGATTCTATAAAAATCGACTTGTAAATACTGTATTTGAATACCTCTATAATGATTATACGTGCCCTTGAAAGCATCTCAAATTTTAATGGGAATTGTTTCGCTTTCAAGAAAAGAAAAAGAAGAACCGCACGCTCAGCCATTTTCAAAAAATCAAAAACATGAAAAAAGCTTTTATCCGTAGTGTAAGACAGATCATGCGTGGCAATCTTCTCACAACGATTGTTTTTGTGAAAATAAATGTTAGAACGAATTTATTTCCGTTCACGAGGGATTCGTTGTAATTAGATGCTACTGTTCATTTTATTCAGCCCTGAATTATGCAGATTGTGGGTTTTTGAGGGATATGGATTAAATTGCGTGTTTTCTTTGCTCGGTTAACGAAATTTTATATTTAATGGATTTCTTATTGGAAGAGATTAGGTCTGTGAACTGATCGACAACTGTACTGTATGTACAGGTGAACCTCGATAACTCGAACCTCTTTGACTCTAATACATCCCTGCGTCGAATTTTTCAGATTTTCAAGTCCCCAAGTTAATTCCCTTGGAAATAATGCCTTGAAAACCTTCCTAATGGGTTTTTTTGCTAGTTCCTTGATGTTCGACTTGAAAAGTATCGACTGTTGTTTCTTTTGTGTGTTTTTGATGAAAAATGTGTGTTTGAGATAAAATTTGCTTTTCTCTGTAGTGCAAGCACGACTTTTGCTGGGTCTGTCTGGACTCGTGGAAGCGCCACAGCGCGAAAACTGGCGGCTATTTCCACTGCACGCGGGTGGTGGCTGTAGCGAAGGCCACTGCGGGCCAGACGGAGCGACTCAAGGAGGCGGCGGTGCGGAATTTTGCTGCCAGAGAACGAGCGCGTTTCCTTTGTCACCTGGCCATGTTTCGTGAGACGAAGACCAAGCTGAGTGCGGAGTCGGGACTGGGCCCCAAGATTCGGAACAAGGCGCAAATTATCGCCGCCATGGTTCCGGTGCATGTCCGGTCCGAGGTGGAAAACCTGCCTTCGTTTCGAGTCGTGGAGCGGAAGCGGAATGGCGGTGATAAGCCCGGTATTATTTTTATCCTTGGATTGATTTTCTGATTTTCCATCACTTTATATCCTAAAGATCTGGCGGATTTTATGTAAATAGTTTTTCACAAGAAACTGGCATCGTAAAATGCACCTGCTTTGTATTTTTTTTACAAATCTTCGTTGATAGCTCGTGATTTTCTGATATTATAGTACTGTAGATCATAAATTGCCGCAAGTAAATCCAGAAGAAATACTGTATAGTTGTCGACATCAGTTGATTTTTGATCGAATGCCTTGTCTTGCCTTCTGAAGTGTTGGACAGGTGTCACCTGAATCCGTTACTGATGGAGAATAACTAAAGGGGGATCTTACTTGGAATGCCCTAACCTCGAGTATTTTTCAAATACAAGTCAAATGATTTTGCAACGATTCCAGTTCAAAAGAAATTGTTTGGAAATGGCTGCAACTGTTTTTTAATCAAGATCTCAGGTAGGCATCAATGCAGGTTTTATGCCCTGCCTTCTTTGTTTCTTGGAAGCATCCTAGTAAAATTAGTGAAGAAGGTTCCAGATAAAAAATAAGTAGAAAAGGTCTGATAATTTAAAAAGGAACGTCAATTATTGATCATGCATTTTTCTTCTGTTGAGTGATTCACTGAATGAAAAAGATATTTTTGTTCTGTCAATCTATCTTTTTTTGGAAATTCATCCTCAACAGGAATGTCCAAGAGAATTTTGGGTGATCAAAGTGAAAAAGCTTGCTGGTTTCGAGTGCGTGTGCTAAATGGGTTCCTTGCTTCATTTCCAGCTATTCCGCAATCAGAACTACTTTATTTTCTGGATTCTGCGCTGAAAGAAGTTCTGAAGTGTCGCTACATCTTATGTGGAGCATATGCGTATGGCTACTATGTAGAAGACAGAGGATACAGCAAGACTGTTTTGGATTTTCTGGTGGTGAGTCACTGTTTGTTATCGTTTATGTACTTTTTCTGGAAATAATCCTTTTTTTCGATTTAAATTTTTCAGAACGAGCTGAAAGACTGGACCGAGAAGCTTTCGAGTGTCCTCTCTGGACCATACATTCAAACACCGTTGAGCAAGATAATTCGAATGACGGCAGTGGGCAGACAGAGACGGAAAGATCTCTTATGCACTGTGGCTCGTGGCTTAGGACCCCCTGATACACCTCCAGTCTTGAGACGAATGGGGGTGGGAATGACCTATGTTGCATTTGAACAACGTAGACTTTCCGGGTTCTTCGGCTTAGACGATTCGTCAAGATTTGTGAGTCTTTCTTGAGTATATTTGCTGAGGGACCAGAAGCCTTTTGGCAGACCAATAATGATTTGATTATGTAATGGGAAGAAACGAGACCAAATGACGGAAAATGGATGTAGATAAAGACGGAGTCCTCGCATAACAAATCTAATCTTTCCCCGGATGAGTTTTTTTATGCCGAATTTTCCTCGTGTGAAACACTTTTTCCCGTAAGATTCACGTATGATTTATTTAATTGGCTCCAGTCAATTCGCCTGAAGTCCATAGTATACTATAAAATTCAAGTAATCCGGACAACTCATCCTCATAACGCTCTGAATTTCTCAAATTTTAAAGACTAAGAAGACGTAAATGTTTTTAATTTTCTCTTTTTTGTTGAATTTTAAAAAATTATTCACTTCCGTTTCAGTTTAGAACTTCTTGAAACTTGAGCATTTTTGTGGCAAAAATTTTCGTCATGTGGAATAATTTGATTAACTCTTTTTATCCGTTCACCAAAAATCCATAATATTTGTGAACCATAAAATTTGTATTTTAATTTTGTAAAACGATTTTTTTTCAATTCTGAAGAAATTTTAAGTTTCATTCAAAACTTGTTGCATTTTTTGGGCCGAAAATTCCGTCAGTGAGATAATTTTGTAACGTGAGTCATGTTTTCCCTTTAAGAATGTGCGGATTTAGCGTTGTTTGGGGTTTTCGTTATGCCGGGACTCACTGTTTATCGTACCTTAAAGCGTTTTTTTTTCTTTGTTGAAGTAATCTACAAAAAAGCAATGTCTCCCCCGATTTATTTTGTCAAAATACTGTGCTGTTTGAAATGTGCAACTTGGGTAAAATATTGTATTTTTTGTGGTGTTCCATGCTTTTTGGAGTGACAAGCTGGTGTCGTATGTTTCACTAAGTTGACTGAAAATTGAAGGACCCCGACGAAATTTAATTTAAATCGACAGGATATAACGAGAACTAATGTAAACGAGCTTAATTTGGAAAAAAAATTTAAGACAAATTTAGGGGACACCTATGTAACCGCAAAGGCAATTGTGAAAAAACGACAGTTAGTGTTGAAGTGCGAAGAAACGATATTTCTTATCTTCTTACCGAGTCCATCTGAGAAAAAAAGTATAGGTGAACCTGGCTTGACCTGTATCTGACCCAAATTCAAAATTGAGAGTCGAAAACTTTTCCTTAAAAAAAGTCAAGCCCTGTTTTTTTATAATTTTTTTTTTCTGCAGCTCGAGAAGTTGAGGAAGGACTGGTGCCGCTCGAAACTGAAGAAACAAGCCGAGGACGGCAACTGTCGCCTCAACCCGCAAGACCCCTGGATCAAAGACGCGAACGGACGCCACGCCAACTGGGTCGCCCTCTGTGACTGGGACGACTCTGAACAATCTTGTCTGTCTCGGTGTCGAGCCGCCGCCTTGGCTGTCAGCGTGTGTCGGCGGGAAGCGTGTCTCCGCCCGCGGGCCCGAAACGCACGCACCGGCGGTCTTCACGCGTATTGTTCTCGTACTTGCGAGTACTTTGCCAACGAAGGCGTCGCTGAGGAGGCGGCGACGACGACAACAACAGCAACAACGACGACCGTGACGACGACGACGACAATAGGGGCGGAACAACTGGGTGGCGGCAATGATGGCGTCGGCTGTGAGACTGGAGATGATGTTAATTTACTCATCGCTTTGGAGATGTCGAGGCTGCAGGCTATTGAGGACGGGCTTAGGCGGCAAAAGGAGGCGGTGGCGGCACGGGCGGAGGATTTGATGCTGGAGAGCGATGTTCCGCCGCCTTTGCCGCCGAAAGTCTCTAAAATGTGAGTCATTTTTGTCCCGTAAAGAAAGAGCTTTTCAAGTGGGTGCTGAGAGGGAAAATTTCCAGCCAAAAATTTGTAAATTGAGTTGGATGTTGGCTAAATAAACATCTTATCAGATGGATTCCGTTTCGCAATAGTTACAAATTGATTCACGTTGTTTTTCTGAAGAAACATTCTTGAATCGAAGGCATTTTTTGAGCACTGTTTTATGTCCTCGTCCTGAACTAAAAAATAAATGTTTCAGGTACGTTCCTGAACAGTGCGAGATTAATTTAGTTGTTCGAGGCCTTCAGAGGAATGCGTTTTCGTTGCTTTCTTCTGGGTATGAACAACGTACAGATGGTTTATTGAAAATTATTTCGGATGCTTATTGATGTAGTCGTTGAATAAATTATGAAAAATGGGGAAAGAGTCGAATGCACATACTGGATAAATTACTTCAGTATTAAAGATGCAATTTTTTTCAAAATATGAACCTGGAAATGTCCAGAGGCTTCATGACATGTTCGTCCTGTACCAAAATTGGCTTTGCTTTGTTTTATTAAAATTTCCGTCTTATAAAAACCGAACTTGCATTCGACGTTGCCCTCGCTCCTTTTTTTTTCAGTGAGAACTTCACCCAAACATTTTTCTCTTTCCGAGTAATTTTCTGAGTCTTCTTCCATCTCTTTTTGGGAAGTTGGAGGATTTTTTTTCTTTCTGTTCTGAAAGTCTTTGGGAATTGATGAATGAGAATATTTGTCTAGACTCTAGAGAATGACGGAAAACAATGTTGATGTGTGATCAGTAGGGTCGAAAGAAGAGCAATGACGGAAGACTCGAACGACGCGGATAACGAAGAAGGTTCCGTGTCGTCCGCGTCACCTGCTGCCGAATGGACGGTCGATGCCCTGCTCAAGTCCCTGACCATCGACGCCGTCGACCTCAAGAACTTTTGCCCCTCTGGCCCGGCCAAGGACAAGCTCAGCAAGTCCACTCTGCTCGCGTCGCCGTCGCAAAAGCCCATGGCGGCGTCCCAGCCTTCGTCGCCGAACTGCGACTCGTCGTTGGCGTCTGCGTTTCTCTGGCCGCCGGGGCGGCGGGAAGCGAAACTGACTCGGAGCCAGCCGTGTTCTCCGCGAGGACTCGTTGAAGGCGGTCTCAAGTATGGCACGAATCCGAGGATTCGGATCGTGAGCCATTCTGAAAGCTCTCAGGACTTGGAATCGGAGACGGGGATCCCGAAATCTCCGACCTTGTTCATTAGGTTGGTTGATGCTGTATTGGATTATTCCAGTGACATCTGATTACGTCAAAGTGCCTTCATCTTCTGATGAAACTTCGTATTGCCTCGCCAGATGCTCTCATGGTTCATTTACAAATTTGTCGATGAAATGCGTTCAAAAATGGAAAGGGTGTTCAAAAAGGCAAACTATCAATGCACTGTGTTTAAAAATTGAAAGGGTGTTCAAAAAAGGCAAATGATGCCATAGCAGCCAGTGACATGAAATTTTGCCGAAGTTCTTACACTTCCGCGTGACATTTTAATGGCTCGCCAGACACTCCGATGGTTCAATTCCAACTTTATCAGTGAACTGTGTTTAAAAATGGAGAAACTGCTCAGAAAGGCAAATGATGCAATGGCTGCCAGTGACATATACAATATGTCAAAGTTCTTACAGTTTTTGTTGACATTTTCATGGCTCGCCAGACGCTTCAATAATTGAATTACAACTTCATTAATTAACTGAACAGTTTTGTTCACCCTTTAAATTTTTTAACAAATGAAGCAATGGGTGCCAGTGACATCTACCTGACGTCGTAGTTAAAGCACGTTCCGATGATGTTTTTTAATGGCTCGCCTGACGCTCTAATGATTCAATTACACATTTCATTAACGAACTGTACATTCGTAATCACCCTTTCCATTTCTAAAAAAATGATGCCATGACGAGAAAGAATTTCTGGAATGCGAGAGAATTTTGCGCACTGTTTTATGTCCACGTCCTGAATTTACTAAGTGCTTCAGGAACGTTCCTAAACAGTGCGAAATTGATTTAGTCGTTCGAGGCCTTCAGAAGACTACGTTTCCGTTGTATTCCTCTGGGTATGAACGACTTACAATAATAGAGAACTGATGTTTGAAGTCCTAATTTACCACCTAATTGATTAGTCTATGCTGATCGAGAAAAAATTAGCCTATTTGTGTAGAGTACACGGTTTTTCTCTGATGAGAGACGATTCAAGTCTGTTGACCGAGGCATCAATAATTTTGGTTGGAAAAACTCACACTGAAAAAATTCGAATAATTTTTCATTTTTACTAATTTCTCATCATTTTTATGAAATTGAAGTACATGAAAATATTTCTAATTTCGTTTTCCAGATCTTTTCTGTCTAACTAACATTAATCGAATTACATTTTTGATTTTTGTGTTTATTTTTTAAATTTATGAAATGACATTTGCAATGCATTCTTCTGCTCAACAGAGATACTGATTGGCAATTTGTCACCTCATCAAAAAGTTACTCCTATCTTCTAAAAATTTCCTATTTGTAGTACGGTATAATTTTTATTGAAAAATCAAAATCCGAGATTCTGAGTATGAATTCAGGGAATACATGCACTATTTTTTGATAGAAGAAAATCTATTGAGACTGCTGTTCCACTTCGAAAGAATAATGGGGGAAATTTCACGCTTTCTTATTTTACAGCTTCTCGGCAGTTGCAGTATTTGCAAATCTCGAGCCTAGGAATGAATATAAGACCCCTTTCAGAACACTGTAAAGTACTGAAATGAGGGATTGAGCAGAAGAGTGCATTGTAAACGCCATTTCGTAAATTTAAGGACTGAATGTAAAAATACAAAACAATTAATGTTGGACAAAAGAGACTCCGGGTGACAAAATTACTGTATAGACATTTCCGTGTGCTACAAACTTTTAAAAATAATTAGAAATTAGCTAAAAATATGTACAGTATTATGATTAAACAATATTTTTGCAGTGGAGTAGAAATCAGCCGTTCGTCGGACGTATCTCCTGCTCGAAGCCCGAGTTCAAAATTTGTCAAGCAGGGCAAACGGAATCGTTCCCGCAGTCTAATACCGGGCTTCAAAGCACCCGAAGCTGAACAGGATCTTCATCATCATCATCTTCTTCATCATCATCAGCAGCAGCAACAGCAGCAGAATTCCATATCATCTGGTCAAGTGCCAGCGACGACGTTGGCCCTGCCTGTGTCGCCGCAATTGCAGAGGTCGTGGCCGTCGTCACCAGCGACTGCAGTCGTCACTGTGACGTCTACTTCCGGGGAGACCAAGTTTAGGTTTCCGGAAAAACGGGCACCGAGAAGACGGAGAACCGTGTTGGGAATGGATGTGAGAGGGGAGGCGAGGAATAACAAGTTGGATGCGTTTGGAGCGGATTTGTTTGGGTTGCATAATTACCGGAGTGCGAGTGACTCGCAGTGCATTCATCAGGTTTGCGGGATTTTTGTTGTTGTTATTATTGCTGATTCAATTTAAATCACTCGATGTGGTGAAAGACAACGTTTCCGAGGAGTCACGAAAATATCGTGTTTTGTGAAATCTCTTCGTGAGGAATTAGTTTTCGAGGTCTCGAAAGTGAAGCCACAATTTTATTTGAGGCTAGTTTCCCCCCCCCCCCCCAAGTTTCAAGAGCTTCGTTGTAACGAGATTTTACTCATCATCTTGTTGTGTAGCGGAAGTTTGAAGTAAGTTTCGAGTTTCTATCAGCGTCCTTGTTGACGTGTGGAAATTTCTGGTGAAGAAGACAAATTGGGCGCCTTTCCAGAAATCGATTGAAACAAACCCCGAGGGCTGTTGGTAGTAACGTTTTAGGAAGATCGCCAATTCGACTCGGAGTTTTCCTTCACAAAATAAAAATCACGTAGGATTTTTCGGATGCTTTTGAATAGTCCTCCGAACTTTCCCTAAATCGCAAATTTGTCATCTAATCATGCTTTTTTGAAAGTAAATCTCGTTACAACGAACCAGTAAAATAGTTTCGTTGAAATGAAAGATTCGCTCTAAAGTGACATTCGCTCTAAAGTGACTCCTTCAACATTGTGGCTTTTGGGCAGGGGCTTGAAAAGCGACTTCGTTGTTGGGGATTATTCGTTGTAACGAGATTTTACAATGAAGCTGTTGGGAAAAACCCTAGAAACATGCTTCGCTATAAAGATAAATTTGTTGTATAGTAATTCAAACATCACTGAATGCCTAAGGAACAGGGACATGAACAAAAAGTCGTTTTAAGCAATAATTTTGACGATGGTTGGAAAGATATCTTTGTAACGAGGTTATGTTGTACTTTTCCCCTTTTTTAAACGAAGGATTAATCCACCACCTCACCGTGGAATTAATCGCCGTTATCGAAGAAAAAATTATTGGCGATTTAGCAAACAAAAAAAATTATTGTACATTGTTCGGGTGCCACAAAACCTGGAAATTATCTCGATAATCGAGTGTTCATAGTTTCTCCAGTTCACAAACTTGACTTTCGTGGCAAAAATATTTATTTTTTAAAATCTCGCAGATTTCTGGAGCGGAAGCCTCATTGTCTTCAGTCCTTCTCGTCGAAGAAAGCACTTTGAGTTCCGACGACTTCCACGAAGCCCTCTTCCTCACTTCGAAGCGGAAAAAGTCTCGGAAAACGCGGGAAAGACACGGGAAGCGTGGCGGCAGTGGCGGTGGTGCTTCTGGCGAGGTACGACGCCGTCAGCGGCGGCGGCGATCCTCACTCGGCGCCCAACACGTCAACGTCGATGTTCCCGCTGCTCCGAAATCCCTGAGTAGTGGGGATCTTGTTGCTGCTGCACCTGTTCCAACTTGTGCCTGACGAGGGAAAAAGGCATAAATAATTTGCAAAAAATCTAAAATCATAAAAAAGTGTGAATTTTTTTTTTTTTTACTGCAAGGAAAAAAAATATGGTGTCTGATGTGATTTTTCGTGTGTTCAACGTACTGTACCTTATTTCCGGTTACAGTTCTATGGGATTGATCTCTTGTTTCATGGCTTTTTGAATCGCGGTGATTTTTAAATGTGTTCCCGTTTCTAAATGTTGGTGTTTTCTGGCTAAATGTTTGAAAAGTGTGCGTGAGAAAATCACGTCGATTATGAGCTTTTTCATTGAAGTCTGACAGAGAACTGCTCGAATTTTCGTACAGGTTGATTCACGCGCTACTAGGCGCATGAAAGTGTCAATTTTTGAGGAAATTCAAAACAGATTTTCATGAAATTTTGGGTGAAGTACTACTGAAAGAAGGAAATCCCTAAACCGCTTACTCAAGTGCTATTGTATTTTATTCATTTAGTCTTGGTGAAGACTTTTTCACCTTCAGCACAAATTTCATAATTACTGTATGTACTGTCTTAGTAATTTCCTAGGATTTCGATGTTTTTGTGGGTCAAAGAGCAAATGAATCATCCTGTGCCAAAAGAAAAGTTGATGAAGATATCCTCTTTTATATGTTTTATATGCAGTAAACATTGTGTTCATTTTTCGAAATCCCATTCCGAAACGCGTTTTGAAAGCGGGCGATTTTATGACAAAGCAACTGTTCAGTTCTCCCACCCAGGTCACATTGAGACTGAAATGATGTCCGTTAATAATTCCGGGAAAGTCGATCTGCTTTTGATGGAATGGTGTGATGAAAATTGATTCAAATACGGTAAAAACTGGAGAATTCGCGAGGAATACGAGTTGTTGGTTCAGAAACATGTCACTTGTTTGTTGTTCAAATGGGAAAAAATGACGGAAAATCCGCATATAGCATGCAAGTGTCGTGCGGAAGGAAATCGTATCATTTCATTATATACGCGTAATTTTTTGATTGGAAGTGTGTTGATCGGTTTCTTTTAATGATTTTAATTTTTTTGGCGATGCGAAAGAAACCCCGTTCAAAAAGGGGGGAAAAAGAAATGTGAACGATCTCAACTTGTGGAAAACGTGTTCATGCCGAATTTGCTGTGAAATCATTTCTGTACTTGGATGAGAAACGTTTTTTCGTCATCCTACCGTGCGATGCTTTTGTGTTCATGGGAAGAATTCATTGGATTGTTTTGTTTCTTCCCGGTGAAAGCGTTTGGAATCTGTTTCACCGATGCTTTGATGGGAATCTTCATTGTGTGGCGAAGATGGAAGGTCATTTTTCCTGATCAGATGGGTTTCGAATTCTTGCGATCTGAATTTGAATTGACTTCTTCTTCGTTAACGTTCTCATTTTACGTCTCGGCTTAAGCATCGTGAAATGCTTTTTATGTGGGACTGGTTCAGTCGAGCGCATCGCAAAACTGCGCTTGATGAAGCTGTTTTCGTCGTGCGATGTTTTTGTGCGTGCGCTCAAATGAGCCAGCGTGAGAAGGGAAAGTCAATTTGAACGCTTTGTAATTTTTAAAAGATTTTCTGGGTATTATTAACGTGTTTCTTTGACTTATTTTTGCAGATTGGGGAAGTTAATTTTCTTTTGCCCAGAATTGGTGTTTTCTCGTCTGGGGTTTCTTCGAAATGGTGAGTTTTTCTTGAAGATGGGCTCTGTGATCTTTTATAAAAAGACATCTTGTATTTTTCTCTGTGTCTTCTCAGATAAGATTCATCTTGATTCAGAACCGAGCCGGTAAAACGCGACTGGCGAAATGGTACGTTCATTTCGATGATGATGAAAAGCAGAAGTTGATTGAAGAAGTCCATGCTTTGGTGACTGTGCGGGATGCGAAGCACACAAATTTCGTGGAGGTAAGTAAGCCTGGTGTAGTGGAGCTTCGGATAACGTATTTCAAGCCAAATAAACTTTTTCGCGTTCAATAAACTCTTTCTTTGACTGATCTTTCTTTTGGGTTGAGAACCTTGCTGACCAGAGAAGAAATCCGTTTTTTGTTGCTTGAAAATTACTCATTGGGTAAATTGTAGAGAGAGAGAGTCCGTTAACCGAGGCAAGGCTGCGTATGTATGCAAGGTTTGCCAAGGAAATGCCCCAATTTTTGTTTTGAGTAGTGAACCTCGCTGACAAGATAAAAGCCATTCTTTGTATAGTAGCTTGAAATTACTCACTGAGTAAAATTGGACAGTAAGTCCGTTAACCGAGGTAATGTTGTTTATGAATGCGAGGTTTGCCAAGAAAAGGCACCAATTTTTTGTGTAGTGAACATTGCTGATGAGAGGCAAAAGCCTTTCTATGTAGCTTTAAAATACTCCCTTTGGTAGAATTTGAAACTAAGTCCATTAACTGCGTCAAGGTTTGCTAAGAAAATGCACCACAATATTTTGTTGGATTAAATGAATGAATTTGTGTTGGATTTTCGATGCCATGTTTCATATCCGCTTGCGTTTGTAAAACTAATTTTTTATTACACCTGCAGTTCTTTTGATAAACTTGAAATTTATTTTTGGTATGAATACAGTTTAGAAACTTCAAGATCGTTTACCGGAGATACGCTGGGCTTTACTTCTGCATATGCGTGGACGTGAATGACAATAACTTGGCATACCTGGAGGCGATTCACAACTTTGTTGAGGTGTTGAATGAATACTTTCACAATGTCTGCGAGCTGGATCTCGTCTTCAACTTTTACAAAGTGAGTGGGATTTTCCATAATCTTGGTTTTTAAGGTAAATAAAATTACTGTATCCACACGCACCTTTTTCAAAATTGAGAGGGAAAAAAGGAGGATGCACATCATTGAGTGTACAATTTTTCAAAAATTTTGTAAGTTTGAATATATGTCATGCTTGATTATAATGTATCATTTTTAACTGCTGTAATTTTTATGAATAATGTTCAGGAACTGAGGAAATGGAATTCAAGTTCAATATATGTCAATCTGAGAATTCTGATCTGTTTTAATTTAGAATATTGCCCATCTTACTGGGGAATGAGATTTCATATAAATTTTTTGCTGAAAATGTGAGTTGCGGATCTTAATTTAGGATGTGTGGTACCCAAGTAAATATGCTTGATACATTTGAAAGACCAGGAAATCTTGAACTTCAATTTCTCTTAAATTGGAATAGTCTTTGTTGAGGAAAAAAATGTTGAATTAAAAAACACTGGAAACTGAATGGGATTGAATAGGGCTGTACAATGAAGTTATCAGAGCCTTGTAACATTTTATTTTCCTTGCTTGCACTTGATGTTTAAATTTCCACTGTTCCATCAGGTTTACAGTGTGGTGGACGAAATGTTCCTTGCGGGAGAAATCCGAGAAACTAGTCAGACCAAAGTACTAAAGCAGTTACTCACGCTCAACTCTTTGGAGTAGAGTCTCTGGTTGGAGGAGGAAATGCCATCTACCGGGAACGTACTGTACTGCATTCCCTTAAAATTTTTTTGAATTGCTTTTTGTTAATTATTCATCAGTTATACTATCCTTGTGATATTCGCGGGGGATGATAAGCATTATCAGCGGAAGTTTGTTTTGGTCTTTTCTTTGATTTCTCAGTATTGCTTCCGAGATTATTTATTATGATGTTGAAGCAATTGCCGCAGATGAGTAGAGGGAAGTGTTGGCAGGAATGTAAGGAATGTTGCTTGGAGTTGACAATGTTGCTCTCTCTCGTTCTTTAGCTGGAGGAAAGTAATTTTCATTTGTGAATCGAACAATTGCTGATCATTTATATTCCGCGATTCATTTTATTTGTGTCCGTCTGAACAACAAGGCAAATTCCCGTTCGTTTGCTGAAACGTGTTTCGAGTGTCTGCGGGGGTGTTGAATGAAGATGCATGAAAAGGCCTTTCTTCTTCTTTTTTCCAATTTCAGTACTTGATGAAGGTCTCAGTAGTTTAGTCCTTTTATCATTCAGCCACGGTGTCACTATGCAAGAGAGGAGGATGGGAAGTATTTGCCTGAAAGCAAAGGATCGAACTTCTCACATGGACCCTGAGTATCCCGAACTTTCTGATACGGATTTAGAGTTCCTTTTGAGGAATACGGGCTTAACTGAGCCACAGATAAAAAATAAGCACTATTCCGTATGGAAGAAACTTAAAGGGAACACTTTGACACCCGAGAGCTTCGAGGAGGTCTTCAGTGAGTGATTTTGCTTATAACACACCCTAAGATTAATTAATTTAATTACCTTATGCGTGTGAATATTCACATTGTGTAAAAGTTTCAATCAAGTTCGAATTAAAGGTTAACTTGAGTACTTCTGGATGGTTAATATCTATCTTAATAATTTCTTCTTTATAATCTTGGTTGCCAAGTTACTTCAGCAGTAAACTTCACTCAAATACCACGTGCAATTTTTCCTCTCAACTGAGAGGGGAAAGAGGGGGTGTGCGTGTCATGGATGGGTATACATTTTTAGAAGTTTTACAAGTTCAGGTGTGCAGTCTATTTGATTCAAATATAAAATTTTGGACCAATTTCGTTACATTACTGTGATGGAAATAATTTAGAATCAATTGAATTCAAGATCACATCATGTCTAAATACAAACTATGTTATTATTTTAGAAAACTTTCAGTTCCTGTCACTTTAAATGGGGTGCATGTAGGGGATAGAAATGTGCTGATGTCATTTAGAAATACATTTTCTATTTATAGAACTATTTTTCCCCTTGAGTGACTCGGCGGGATTCCGCCAGGAAGTATTCTCGACTTTCGATCCAGCCAAGAAAGACTGGATAGACTTCAGCGAATTCGTTCAAGCCGTCAACATTCTTTCAACTAGAGCCCTGTACGAGCAATTGGGCACAGCATTCCTGATCTTTGACAGGAACAACAGCGGGGAAATTGACAAGGAGGAAATGTTAGACGTGATTGCTTACTTAGCTTTCCATCAGGGCAAGAATATTAAACCGCTGGCAATGATTGAGATGGTCGACAGAATCTTCAACGCTGTGGATGAAGATGGTAATGGTGTGCTAACAAAGGAAGAATTCTTGAATGGATGCCTCAGCTGCAAGGAAATGGCGGCGCTGCTACAAACGGTGTGACTCTCCATGTTCTTTCTTTAACATATAATACCGTTGAATCATATAAAAGTACGTAATTCTTCTATTTCAATTTTCATTATTATTCCGCATGCAGTTGAGAAACTTACCAGTTCAGAGACATCCATGAGACTGTGATATTTCTAACTGAAGCGTTAAATATTTTGTTCTGTAAGTGCAAGCCATCTCATGCGATTAAACACCGGTCTGTGACAGAATTGATCTTGAAATATGAGTAAGAGTTGACTTCATAAAGTTTCATTTTCAACACATCACTCGACTTTTTCACCCTCACCTCTGTCGTTTATCATACACAGTTCCGAAGGAAAAATGTTCGATAATATGAAGATATGGTGCATAGCAAATAGAAGACCAAAGAGAATATTTAGATAACATAAGACGCGCAGTTCAGTCGAGACAGGCGAGGAATCAGTTCACATCCGTTCAGCTAACGAGATCATTAAAGGTCATCATCCCTTGCAAAAAAAAAACACAAACACGCGCTCTAGGAACTAATTTCTCGCCCGACCGCGAACCACAATTAATAATTTACGGCGAAACGTGAAGAACGTATCAACAACTATCGTAAGTCAGTTCATCTCGGCCATTCACATTTTCCAACTACCATACTTTGTTTTTCCGACATTTAATGCAGGCTACGATTCGCTGGCCCAGATGAACTTCTTTCTTGCACGCGACACCCTGTATTAGGGAGCACGTTTCCAACGAATAAATATGCATTCTTTTGTTGTTTTCGCGTGAGTTCCTCAACAATTGCGTCCGTCTCTGGGGGAAACCAAGTCACGTTTGTTGCAAAGCGGGAATGTTCAGCTTTGGGCACCAGACCGAAAAAACCGCGCAGACAAATTGCACACAACTCGCCCAAACCCATTCACTCACTCGTGTCCAACCATCGAGATTTGATCTCCCCGTTTTACACGTAGCGTCAATAAGTTTTTTTGACTAAAAAAAAAACAAAAAAAAACTCTGCCGCTAAAGACAAAAAAAGAAAGAAAGGAAAACAAACGAACGAACGAACGAACAAACAACGGCATACGATGGTCGGTCGGCACGGTTAAAAACTCGTCGAAACATGGAAACAATTGGCAACGAAGGGACGCCCAAACGTCCCACTCGGCAAATGGAACCTCACCCATCATCATCATCATCCCTTGTTGCCCAGTGGGTAACAAAAAACGGGGTTCCCGGGACCTCACTGGAGCTTCTCCTTCGCCGGGATCCAAATGGTGGGTCCACTCTGGTCTTCTATCACTTGCTTGACTTTGGCGTGGATCTCCTCTGGCGTGTCGCCTTGGATGATGGCTGCGAAACACAAAAATACAGTGGTACTAAACGAACAGCCGACACAATGAACTATAAATAATGTTTCCACCTCCTAGAATACACGTACTGTACATAAAGAATAAGTCGAAGACACTGAAAACTTTTACTGTAACTGTAAACCGTAAGAAAGTATCTGGAAATATCCTTCTCTGAGCATTTGTCTTCCAAGCAACATGGCTGACATAGTAGTGCTTGCAAAATAAGTACATCATAGAAAAACAAGTGGTATAATGTAGAAGCAATAAAAGTTAGCAATACAGTAGTAAAGCCCTCGGCCTACTACTTCTTGAATATTTAAAGAAAACCATGCACAGTACAAGGACAGCCCCATACAAGGAACTTGCGAATTCTGCAGGCATTCGAGCAATTCTTGTTTTATCCACTCATCAGGCATGATTTATTTTTATCCCCTATGGATACAACTACAGGAAAAGATTAAATACTGTAGTGGAATCAAAAGGACTAAAAAATTGGAGGACCAATTTGTAAGGAAGCATCTTGAGATATTCTTTCTGAGCAGTTATCCCCTGAGTGACACGATTAACTTTATATTGTTCGCAAGACTAGGGTAGGGTGCCCAGCCACACCTGGGCAATGTGTGGTAATATGAGTAAAATACCCAACAGACTATTGTAACATGGCCATCCACCTACCCTACACTAAAACCTACCCTACACTACAACCTACCCTACACTACAACGTACCCTACGCTACAACCTACCCTACACTACAACCTACCCAACACTACAACCTACCCTACACTACAACCTACCCTACACAAAAACCTACCGTACACTACAACCTACCCTAGACTACAACCTACCCAACACTATAACCTACCCTACACTACAACCTACCCTACACTACAACCTACCCTACACTACAACCTACCCTGCACTACAACCTACCTATTGTTCGCAAGATAATAAGTTTCCGAACAGAACTGCACATGAAGCCAAATTTAAGAAGTTAGTCACTTCCTCTGCGGACATTTCATGAGGTTTGTTTCTTGATAAAAGCCGTATAATAACAGTTGGTGACACGTGGTGAAGCACGGGTCACGTTATCTCACCTGTAAAATATTCGGAGAAGTCGTTTTCGAGCTTCATGGCGCGGTCGAACATCTTCTTGGCCTGATCCTCAGTCAAACGTTTGTTCCATTCCCTACGAAAGAAAAATGAA